TAAGATGTTACCACTGGGGGAAACTAGAGAATCTCTGTGTTATTTCTTACTGTTGCATGTGACCCTACAACTCTCTAAAAATATTTTTTAATTGAAAAAATTAATTCTTGGACTGTGAAGTGTGTGTAATTTAAGCTACTTTAAGAAACAGACAGCTGAAGCCCAGGAGGGACTCCACTGTCTTTGCTGCTGTCCCCTCCTGGCACCTGTGGCCTCAGGTGAGTGCCCAGGGGAGCATTTCAATAGGGCAAGCCCCGGGGAGAGGCTGAGCTAGGACTTGCTGATGTTGGTCTTCAAGGAGAACTGAGGAATGAGCCAGGGCTGGGAGTGAGTCTGCATAGGGTGCCCTCTGGAGGCCCAGGAGTACCCATGTAGGAGCTTGTCTCTCAGCTGGGCAGTGAGACCGGGCTCCAGTACCATGGAGGGAGAAGAGGGGACAGTGCCATGTCCTTCAATCCAGCTGGTGACCAGTTCTTTGAACTTCTGATGAAGAGCGGCTCCGATCTAAGCATGCACTGCTTCTCAGGATGGAGAAAGGAAGATTCAAAGCTAGAATGAGGGAATGTTATACTAACTATAAACAACCAAAACATACGTTGTAAAAAAATATTTTTTTATTGATGCTATTTTTGGATTACAAATTCCAAAATAATAAAATTTTGATTTTTCTTATTTTGAGGCAAGAATGTACTCTATCTTCTTAACCCTTAATTAGTGTTTTATCCGAACACCGTAGTTTAATCCCATGATGAGATGAGTTTGGGAGGTGCTGACTAGGTGCTGGGAGGCGTTTGGGAGATGTTGGCTGGCTCAGCAGCTCCTGCAGGAGAGGCCCTCACCGTCTTCCAGCTCTACTCCAATCCCTCTCTTGCTCCAAGTTCTCTGTCCCTCAAGACTGCCCGTTCCTCCCGAGGTCTTAGCTCTCTCTGTAGTTTGTTGCATGTGTGGAGCCGTGACTGCTGCAACAAGGCTGGGCTGGGCCCATAGATGCCATGTCATGCCTTAGTTTTTCCCACAGCTCAGTCTTGGGAGCGCAAGAGAGACAATGATTGACTAGACAATCATGTGGCTCTCTGGCCTGAGGTTCAGAAATCTTTCAGTTGTGCTTATGGATGCATGGCTTCCCCTCGTGGAGGTTGTTACTGTTGTCAGTGGTGTGTGTGTGTATGTGTGTGTGTGTTTGTGTGTTGTACCTGCATACACACATACATTCTGATTTGAGAGTTTAATACTTGAAGCAGGAATCAGCAAGATCAGACACCATTTCTCTTCCTGGAGAGTTAGCCAGGCTTGATTCCTTCCTGGAGCAACATTCTTTCTCCCTTGGTCCCGGGAAAACTTCTCAGATCATGTTCCTGGTTGACGTCAAGCATAAACATGATGCAAGGAGAAGGGGACTCCTGGCTTCAGTGTATTCATCAAGAATTACTGGCATAACCATCACCAATTAAAAATAAAAAAGGTTTCCCAGATATTCTTACCCAGTCATATTATAAGACAGCCATTGAAAACTGCCCCAAGGCCAACAATCTAAGCAAAAGCAACCAATCTAAGAAGCAAAAAGTAACACGTCCTGGAATCCCAGGTTACATGACGACATGGAGAAGTGTGCAACACACACAAACCAGGAGTTCTTAGGGGGAAAAGGGCCTGTTGAGGGGCATTCAGTTGCAGTCTAGGTTGATCAAATTTAAACACCTGATATGATACAGAAATGTGATTTTCTAGGCCTTGATATTTGCTACAAGCGAGTATTTCTGCATAACTTGGATCACGTTTTCCTCATGGTGACCTGATCAGTCTGTTCACTGTGAACATTGCCTACCATGTCCACCTATCATGGAGAAGACCTGAAATTCCTCAGTGAGGACTGTGGAATCACAGGTCAGGAGACAACTCTTAGCAAACAAGTTTGTCAACCTTCCAGTAGACATAGTCCAGGGAATTTTAAAACTTGTTTTTGGTCCTCTAAGACTTTGGTCCAGACTTTGGCTTTGAGTTTAAGACTTAAGAGGGGCTACCCTGGAAAATTAAGGAACCTCAATTTAGGAAGTTGTCACAAGGGATGTCCTTGCTTTGGGGACATTTATATGAGATCATCAGGTGTGGCATCACTGAAGAACTCTCCAGCCCATCTACAACCGTTCTCCCCCAATGTCAACACTGGTGAGGGCAAGCACAGACAGGGAGGGTTGAATCACCAGGAGCAGAGCCAAACAGCGTATTCTGTCTAAAATTTACCAATGTGGGAAGAGCCTGACGGGTGGATCCAAACCAGATGCCCAGGGAATTCAGATCCTAACACCAGGTCAAGGGAAGGAACTGGGAAGCATAAACAGGACGCCAAAGCCAAGAGAAAACTTCATGGATCTGGGACAGCAGTGAGGAGGCTCCCAGTGAAAATTTAAGGCAGCATTGCACATGTTGGTAGTAGAGTACACAGCATTTGGGCAGGTCAGGTTGACTGAAAGGTGTCAGTTAAGAAGAACAAGCTTTGAAAGCTTAGTCTAGGTTTTGTGGGTTTATTTGTCTGTTAGTCCAGTAGGACTGGACCATTTTAGGTTTGTTTGTTCTTTCATAAACATTTATATTTGCAATGAGGAAGACATTGTGCCAGACTCTGGGGAAATAATGGCAAATAAGGCACAGGACCTGATGGAAGGAAATTATAATTTAGTAGTGAAGATTAATAATGGAAACATAATTACAATGTGATGTTTTAAGTTTGATTATTGATAGAAAGTTCTAGGTGCAATTGAACTATCTAAGAAGGGCAGTCTTGAAATAAAGACAGGAAAGGTTTAGCAGAGGAGACAGTGTGTCAGCTAAAGTATAAATAGAGAATTAGAAGAAGATGGTCAGGTGGATCGCTGGGGAGTTCATTCTAAGAAAATGGTCAGCATGTATTCTGAAGCTTTCTCAACCAGCCCCTCAGCTGATTCTCCTGACTCCTGGACACGGTCCACTCTGCTGTGCACATGCAGAAGGCAGGTGAAGTTCCTGCTCCCTGGGCCACTCTGGATCCCCCTCCCCTCCTCATGTGAGCTGTATGCTTGTCAGCAGTCAGTCTTCATTTTCCTCATATCATTATAATCCTTATGCTTGTTATCAAAGTTATTTAAATTAAGTAAATTTGTCCAAATTGAAGAGATATGGGTACAAGCAAGTTGTCATTCCTGTGCAAATTATTTTTTATTTTATAGCTATTTTATTTATTTATTTATTTTATTATTTTTTCATAAGTTATTGGGGTACAGGTGGTGTTTGGTTACAGGAGTAAGTTCTTTAGTGGTGATTTGTGAGATTGTGGTGCACTCACTATGCAAGCAGTATATATTGCACCCTATTTGTAGTCTTTTATCCCTCGCTCCCCCCACTCTTACCCCCAAATCCCCAAAGTCCATTGTATCATTCTTTGCCTTTGCATACTCATAGCTTAGCTCCCACAGATCAGTGAGAACATGCGATATTTGGTTTTTCATTCCTGAGTTACTTCACTTAGAATGATAGTCTCCAGCCTCATTCAGGCCACTGCAAATGCTGTTAATTCGTTCCTTTTTATGGCCGAGTAGTGGTATTCACACACACACACACACACACACACACACACACACAACACAGTTTCTTTATCCACTCATTGATTGATGAGCATTTGGGTTGGTTCCATGATTTTGCAATTGTGAATTGTGCCACTATAAACATGCATGTGCAAGTATCGTTTATGTATAACAACTTCTTTCCTCTGGGTAGATATCCAGAAGAAATCCGTGTAAAAATTAAATTGCAAGTTGTGGAAAGACTTGTTGAACATAGTCATTAAAAAATAATGCTACCAAATTCAGTGTTTCCAAGTAGCTGTAACCTATTGGGGAACTAAAATGGGAAACAGCCACTAAAACTCTACAATCAGAAAGCTTGGCAACAGCGTTAAAGTTCTGAGTCTGTTTTAAAGTAGCTAACAACGGAACATATAGAGGACGCAGCTTAGACATGCGTTATGCAAGGAAGACATCATGGGACTCCTACGGGACCCACAGCTCAGAAAAGGCTTTGGCTTTATGTCACAAGATTAGTAACCAAATATTCATGTATATGTTTTAAAGTAAAATAAAATATTTATCATACCCAAATATTATTTTTGTGGTACTCTGCTTAACTGATTTTTTGATTAACAAACCAAACCAACCACAGATCCCAAATCTACTGGATTGGAGGACTCCTTGCACACCAAATTCTGGCTTTAAAAGCATAAGAGAAAAAATCAAGTTGTTAAGTGTGAGTAAACTCAGAATTGAGTTCATGTGCTGGACAGCTGGGAGGATGCCGGTGTGTGTGCTGATGCTGGGGAGATAGAGCTCCGTGGGAAGTTGGTGCAGAGTGAGACCCTGAGTTGTGTTAGCAGTGACAAGATTTCAGAACAGGGCAAGAGATGAAATGGGCTGGCAAACAATGTCCCCAGACACTCTAGTACCCATGCACGGAACTCTGTCCATATTGTCCTGGGGACTGAGGGGGCCTGGACAACGTCATCTGAGAAAGCCTCCTCACTCAGCGTTTTCCACATGCAGCAGTATTTTGGAGACTGCATGTGAACTGCATGCCCAGCCATGCAGTACCGTGGGCTGTTTCTACTTCTGGGCAGTCTTGTCCAGACAGGGGATTATGAGCAATGTCTTCTCTTCTACAGATGCATAATTCTTCTCATTGTCCCAAGCATTGTCATTATATCACCTTAAAATGAGGTGGTGCAGAGTGAGATTCTGAGTTGTGTTAGCAGTGTCAAGATTTCTTACCATTCAGGACGTAGGCATAGGCAAAGACTTCATGACTCAAACACTGAAAGCAATAGCAACAGAAGCCAAAATTGACAAATGAGATCTAATTGAACTAAAGAGCTTCTGTTCAGCAAAAGAAACTATCATCAGAGTGAACAGGCAACCTACAGAATGGGAGAAAATTTTTGCAACCTATCCATCTGAAAAAGGACTAATATCCAGAATCTACAAGGAGTTTAAACAAATTTACAAGAAAAAAACAACCCCATCTAAAAGTGGGTGGAAGACACGAGCAGACACTTATCAAATGAAGACATTAATGCATCCAACAAACATGTGAAAAAAATCTCATCATTACTGGTCATTAAAGAAATGCAAATCAAAACCACAATGAGATACCATCTCACTCCAGTTGGAATGATGATCATTAAAAAGTCTGGAAACAACAGATGCTGGTGAGGATGTGGAGAACTAGGAACACTTTTACACAGCTGATGGGGGTGTAAATTAGTTCAACCATTGTGGAAGACAGTGTGGTGATTCCTCAAGGATCTGGAACCAGAAATACCATTTGGCCTAGCAATCTTATTACTGGGTATATACCCAAAGGATTATAAATCATTCTACTATAAAGACACATGCACATATATGTTTATTGTTTAAACATATTTGCTATTATTTACAATAGCAAACACTTGAAACCAACCCAAGTGCCCAAATGATAGACTGGATAAAGAAAATATGGCACATGTATATATACCATGGAATACTATGCAGCCATAAAAAATGAGTTCATGCCCTTTGCATGAATATGGATGAAGCTGGAAGCCATCAGCCTCAGCAAACTAACACAGGAAGAGAAAACCAAATACTGCATGTTCTCACTCATAAGTGGGCATTGAACAATGAGAACTCATGGACACAGTGGGGAACATCACACACTGGGGCCTGTCAGTGGTTGGAGGGCAAGAGAGAGACAGCATTAGAGCAAATACCTAATGCACGTGGGGCTTAAAACCTAGATGACAAGTAGATAGGTGCAGCAAACCACCATGGCACATGTGTACCTAAACAACAAACCTGCGCATTCAGCACATGTATCACAGAACTTAAACAAAATAAAAAACAAACAAACAAATAAACAACAAAAAAAGTTCTCCTTTTTGCTCATATTCAAGTTTGAGAGGCAAGACCTACAATCATTTATAATCATGAGCATGGGTTTAGGGTTAGGTGTGGGTTCAAGATCTGCTCCTACCACTTGGCAACTTTCTCTTGTTGAAAATTACTTGTTACCTCTATTTTCTCACATTCACAGCAGGGACAGTAATGTCCACTTAGCAGTGCTGTGAAGTGGGCTGGGTTAGCTCTGTGCTGGGGATTCTTACCAGTTATTGAGCACTCTGTACCTGAACTCTTCTAAGAACTGCAAGTTTATTATCCAGGAATTGTAATATCAAAATAATAGGGTGCCATCCTCATTTTACAGATCTGGAAGCCAAGGCTCATGGTAGTAAATAACTCAATTGAGGGTGCAAGCCAGTGAGAAAAGCCAAGATTCAAAGTTAGTGCTCTTATGAATGGGACCTCTGCCTTACACGAAAGACAAGCTCCCATGCACTCATTTAACCCTGTTTTCACTTTCCTGAAGATATTTCCCTCTCTGTGGACCTCCGCTTGCCTCCATCATTCTCATCTCACAAGGGACAACCAGGACCCCAGTCCCTTTTACTGTGAGCAGAGAGTGGTTTTTGTGACTCCCCCAAAATGCAGACATGGTACAAGTATACTAAGGCAACGTAGGAGCCACACAGAATGTATGGTTAAAGAACATAACTAACACACACATATGCAATCAAGCTCATTGCCTTAGTAATTCTGTGATGTCCCTGGCTACAGGCTGAGCTTCTCTAGTGCCAGGTTCCTAGTGGCTTCTATCTGTCATGCGGCTTTAGTTTCTCAGTAGCTATTCAACCTAACAAGTGTGAGCAGAACCACACGAAGCAGCTGAGTCTCCCCACATTCATCTGGCAAGTGCTGACTATACACCCCAACAGTCTGAATCCCTGGGTAGGTGGTCTTCAGAGAAGTAAGCCTTAGAGTCAGAAAATGGCTGTTCACTTCTAAGTCTGAGGCACTGTGGGTACCCTGGCTCATTTAAAATCTACCATCACCCTGTGAAATAGACCTCATGACCACCCCCAAAATGTTATAAGTGAGAAAACAGAACCCCAGGGTGAATAGGCGATTTTCCTAGACAGAGCCAGGATTCAAACTCAGGCCTGAAACATGAATAACTACATCCATCAACTCCCTCCTTTTCCCCACCTGCATGTGACTTTTAGGAGACCACTTCGCTTGGTGGAATCATTGTGGCTTCCAGGACAGCTGGCATGTTTGACTTACTGGCACAGAACCACCCAGTGCTCTGTGATTGCCAGTTCTAACCTCCCTCATAAATCCCTCAGACAAGCCTCATGCCCATCAGGTATCCACTCATTACTCACCATCTTCTCCACTGCTTGCTCTGGTCCATGACAGCCTTCCCAACTCTGACATCAGCGGTGCCATTTCACCTTCCTGGGATGCTCCCCTTCCAGGTTTCCATATTTCACATGCCTGTCTTCAAGAGTTCTTTCCTAATATTCTCCAAAAAATCCATCCTCCACACCCCACCCCCAGATACTCTATATTAAAATATTTCATTGCCTTAAAATCTTTTATCATTCTCAGAAGTTATTATTTTTATTTGTTTGACTGCTTATTACGTGTATCTTTGTCCTCATTTTTAAAAGTAAATTCTTCTAGGGCAAGTTTTTTATATGTCCTGTTTCTTCCACATCCAGGTATCTGGAACACTTTCTGGCATGCAATGTTTGTTGACTAATTGGATAAATGAATGGATGGCTTCAAGGGTAAGTGCATCCTGGGTTCCAAGTGATTGTCAAGAGTTCTTAATTAAAATGTGAGTTATTAATAATTGCAATATAAAGTCATATAGAGTTTTAAAAATTATTTTCTAGAGTTAGGTACAGTTTTAAGTGGTTTATAGCTTTACAGTCATAAATAGGTATTCAGTCATAATAGCTGTCTATCTATCTATCTATCTATCTATCATATATATATATATATATATATACATATATATTATATATATATTATATGTATATAGTATGCATTGCTCTACAATTTGCTATTTAGAATAATACAATTTTGAACATTTTTTTCTGGGGGTCCTGGTAAGATGGCCAAATAGGAGCAGTTCCTGTCTGCAGTTCCCAGCGAGATCAATGCAGAAGACAGGTGATTTATGCATTTCCAACTGAGGTAGCCAGCTCATCTCATTGGAGCTCATTAGACAATGGCTGCAGCACACAGAGGACAAGCAGAAGCAGGGCGGGGCATTGCCTCATCTGGGAAGTGCAAGGGGTCAGGGAACTCCCTCCCCTAACCAAGGGAAGCCGTGAGGGACTGTTCCATGAAGAATGGTGCACTCTGTCCCAAACACTACAGTTTTTCCATGGTCTTTGCAACCCACAGACCAGGAGATTCCCTCAGCTGCCTACACTGCCAGGGCCCTGGGTTTCAAGCACAAAACTGGGCAGCCATTTGGACAGACACTGCAGAACATTTTTTTCATACCCCCATGGCACCTGGAATGCTGGTGAGAAGAACCTTTGTCTCCCCTGGAAAGGGGACTGAAGCCAGGGAGCCAAGTGGTCTAGCTCAGCAGATCCCACCGCCATGGAGCCCAGCAAGCTAAGATCCACGGGCTTGAAATTCTCACTGCCAGAACAGCAGTTTGAAGTCAACTGGGGACACTCGAGCTTGGTAGGGGAAGGGGCATCTGCCATTACTGAGGCTTGAGTAGGCTATTTTCCCCTCACAGTGTAAACAAAGCCACTGGGAATTCCAAACTGTAGGGAGCCCACTGCAGCTTGGCAAAGCTGCTGCAGCCAGACTGCTTCTCTAGATTCCTCCTCTCTGGGCAGGCCATCTCTGAAAGAAAGGCAGCAGCCCCAGTCAGGGGCTTATAAATAAAACTCCCATCTCCCTGGGACAGAGCACCTGGGAGAAGGAATAGCTAGGGGATGTAGCTTCAGCAGATTTAAATGTTCCTGCCTCCTGGCTCTGAAGAGAGCAGCAGATATCTTATCACAGCACTCAAGCTCTGCTAAAGGATAGACTGCATTCCCAGGTGGATCCTTGACCCCCATGCCTCCTGATTGGGTGATGACTCTCAACAGACACCTCATACAGGAGAGCTCCAGCTGGCATCTGGCAGGTTCCCTTCTGAGATGAAGCTTCTAGAGAAAGGAACAGGCAGCAATCTTTGCTGTTCTGCAGGCTCCACTGGTGATACCCAGGCAGACAGGGTCTGGAGTGAACCTCCAGCAAACTCCAGTAGTCCTGCAGCTGAGGGTCCTGACTATTAGAAGGAAAACTAATGAACAGAAAGAAGTAGCATCAACAGCAACATCAATGAAAAGGACATCCACACAAAAACCCCATCCATGTGTCACCAGCACCAAAGACCAAAGGTAGATAAACCCATGAAGATGAGGAAAAACCAGGGAGAAAAGGCTGAAAATTCCAAAAACCAGAATGCCTCTTCTCCTCCAAAGGATAACAATTCTTTGCCAACAAGGGAACAAAACTGGATAGAGAATGAGTTTCATGAATTGACAGAAGTAGGCTTCAGAAGGTGGGTAATAACAAACTTCTCTGAGCTAAAGAATCATGCTCTAACCCAATGCAAGGAGGCTAAGAACCTTGAAAAAAGGTTAGAGGAATTGCTAACTAGAACAATCAGTTTAGGGAAGGACATAAATGACCTAATGGAGCTGAAAAACACAGCATGAGAACTTACCGAAGCATACACAAGTATCAATAGCAGAATTAATCAGGTGAAAGAAAGGATATCAGAGATCGAAGATCAACTTAATGAAATAAAGCATAAAGACAAGTTTAGAGAAAAAAGAATGAAAAGTAACAAAAGAAGCCTCCAAGAAACACAGGACTATGTGAAAAGATCAAATCTACATTTGACTAGTATACCCGAAAGTGACAAAGAGAATGAAACGAAGTTGGAAATTACTCTTTAGGATATTATCCAGGAGAACTTCCCCAATCTAGCAAGACGGGCCAACATTCAAATTCAGGAAATACAGAGAACACCACAAACATACTCCTCAAAAAGAGCAACTCTAAGACACATAATAGTCAGATTCACCAAGGTTGAAATGAAGAAAATAGTGTTAAGGGCAGCCAAAGAGAAAGATCAGGTTGCCCACAAAGGGAAGCCAATCAGACTAACAGTGGATCTCTCGGCAGAA